GGTATTTCTACATGTATGTGCAAATTCTATATTATATTATAATGCATTATTATTTTATATTCAAGCGCATTTATGTAAAAATCACAAATTAATATATGTAAATATATTTACTTAATTCCATTTTATAATTTGCAATACAATAATATATAATTTATATATAACATTTATACATAAATATTTATGAAATTTTATTTTGCACAAATCGTCTACATAAATGTATGTGTGTGTGTGTGTAAAGTTGTTTGTTAGGCTAACCCAGACCCTCAAGTTGTTTCGTCCGCTTGACTGCTTCGGCGACGAGGCAGATGGAGAAGAGATGAACGTCGTCAGACGTCGGTCCGCAAAAACGGTGTTCGGGTGGGCCGATTTGGGGGCTGTTAGTTGCCAAAGCGCCGCTTTCGTGTACAGCGTAGACGCGAGTCTCATGTCGACCGGACTTGGCTGTGAGGGTGTAGCCTGAGGGTGGGAAAGGGTAGTGCCGGATTGGGTGGACCCGATGCCGCATGACCGAGACGACGGTCGAGCAAAGTCGGTCATGCCGACCCGAAAGAGCCGCTCGAGCTCAAGTTGGCCTCCCTCGGCGTCCAACTCTTCACACGCTGTCGTCGTCTTGACGGCGTCGGTGTTGGTGTCGGCGCTTTCGTTAGACCGACTTGCTCGTGGCAGCAACCACTCAAGCGGATTTCGCCCAAAGCTGGCGCTTCAAGACTTTCTACGTCATTTGACGTGACTCAACGACGAGCTTTCGAGGTCGAGTCAGAAAAACCGACCAACTCCTTCAGAGCAACTTAGCTTTTGAGAGAAAAAGTCCAAGTTCACCGAAACAAATAATGTCCTATTCCATTCTATTTGTCATTTAGACAGGAATGGTCGGCAATTTTAGCTTCGCATAAACTGGTCTCTACAGCATTCAGTGCCAACTTGAGGCCTACTCGTACGATTGGGGACAAATTGGCACCTTGAGCGAAATCGCATGATCACATCTCAAATCTAGGATCTAGTGCTACCTCTGCAGCCTACTCATAAATCAACATAAGTAGTCCAGTTGATTGCGATGGTAAATATAATTTTGTTTTCGAGACATGAAATGAAGCTATTAGAATTAACTTTAGGTCAACGCCCAGAGACTATGGGGGCAAATAAGATGAGCAAGGAGTCATTCACGAGATTGATGATGAACTTACTAATGAGTAGTACATATTTCACCTTTAATCGTAAATTGTGTGAGCAAACCGAAGGTTTAACTCTGGGATCGTGCTTCGCTCCACTTGTTGCCAATAGCTACATGGCTCACTTAGAAGAAGCACTCCTGATTACTTTGTTGTCTGGTAGCCTGGCAAAGAGAGTATGCAAGACTTCCTTCGCTTAATGAATAGATTTGATAGGACTATTGATTTTGAAAAGGACACTAATTTACTATTTTCGATATTATAGTTAGTAAAGAATTGAATAAACTTGGTAGACATGTGCACAAGAAGGTCATGGATGCGGATTTCGTTATTAATTTTTTTTCTCAAATCATACTCATCGTGATGCAATGTAGGTCCTGA